AAGATCTTCCTTAATATGATCTACATAAAATTAAATCTAATGACTTTGTAAATCATTTTTCTAGGGCAAATTTTTAACGCTGACAATACCTATCATAATAAACCCCTTTTTTCTCATCATACTTGTATCTCCACAAATGCATATAAGTCTGACAGGTTCTTTTAGAAATTATGTCTTTTTTAATATGACCCGTTAATTTTGGAAAAATCGTTTCTTTGATATACGTTTTTAGGCTTTTAGGAGAATGTGATTCTGGTGCTTATTTCTGTAATCACATTTGGCATTCTTCTATAAAATTCTTATCATTTAATAAGCTTTCTAACTTTGAATGTTTCCCTTAACAATAAGGAAGAAGTTCTCCCATTTTTATAAATGGGTTTCCCATTTTTGAATACAACATGCTATATAATTGCCCTTATTCCATATGGTTTATGCGATATTATTACTGGCTTCTATCTTTTCTTGTCCATCTAATAATAGTTAAATGAACCTATATATGCTTAAGTAGCATAAATAGTCATAGGTATAGAGTTTTTCATTTTCTTTTGCGGATTTTAATAATAAACATTGTTGATTTATTTCTTCTAAGTGAATATGTAAGTTATTAGATAAAGATAAAGATAGTTGTGATGGTTGTGATATAAGTGAAGAACTTTTTAAAGATAAAGATAAAGATAATCGTGATGAAGATGATTGTGATGAAGATGATTGTTCAGAATTTCTAAAAAAGGTATCAATTGTTTTCATTTCCTTTACATTTTCTTTTAACTTCTCTTTTTTTTTTCTTTTTTCCAGGTTGTAGTCCTTGAATTTCCGATATATACTGCTCTGATACTATGATTAGCATCTTCATGCTAATGAAGAGTTTTGGTGATAAGTTTTTTTTCTACATCTTTAAACTCTTTTAAATCTTCTTCTGTCCAATCATTAACAAAATCATCAATTAATTCAATAATCTCATTTTCTGAAATATCTCTTTCAATGGTAAATTGATCCTAAGATACATAGCGTCCTTTTTTTTTAAGTATTTGACTAACTTGCTATTGCCTTTTTATTTTACGTGACATCTCAAAAGTATAATCAAATTTTAAAAAGAAGATCAAAAAAATAAATAAATAAATAAATAAGTCAAAAAAAAACAAATCAAAAAAATACTCGAGTCTAATTAATTATGATAATTTGGATCAGCATTAAATTATTATAATGTTGACCCAAATTATAAAATCCCTGACCAATAGAATTTCGTGCACTTGATTTGATTTTGTTTCAAATATGATCAATCATATGAAAATCACCTAACTTTAAATGCTTATAACTTTTTATGTAATTATTATTTTAAAAATTTAGCCAGTAATTTAATAATACTTATATTGGAGAATAAAGTTACTGATTTATTTTTTAAAATTTTATTTTTTTAAAGTGTTAAAAGATTTTTAAATGTTACAATTTTATTTTTGAATATAGATTTTCAGCACCATACTAGTGATAATTTATATTGTTTGAGATTCTAATTTAGTAAATATGATTTTTATTTTTCATTTTAAAATAAAAAATTAAAAATAAAATTAGTTTATATAATATAATAATAAATATTATTTATAATGAAAAGGAAAAAGATATAAAGAATAGTAAAAAGGTAATTAAAAAAATATAGTTAAACTATTTATAATTATATTACATTATTAAAATACAATTATTATTTTTTTATGATTAAGTTTATGATAATATATAATATAATAAACATTTTAAGTAAAATTATTATTAATAAAATTAATGATTATAAAAATTTAATTTATTATTTTTCAAGAAAATACTTATTAATTCATTTTTAAGAATCACTTTAACATTATTATTGTCAAATCTGTAAGAAATTTATAAACAAATTATATTTAAAAGATTTTATAAAAACATAAAATATAAATAATAAAGTAATACTTACTTTTTAAAAAATGTTAAATTAAATGAAAATTTATTAACTAGTAAATTATTTATTTAATAAACAATTTCAATAGAAGGAATTGTATCTTTAATTTTGATTTTACAATTTAAACAGAATAGTTTATTGATTGTTAATGTAAATAGACAAATTACTAATTAAATTGTAATTATTTTATTAATAATTTATAATATGGGTTGATTGCTAGGAAAATCAGGTTCCGGGAATTTTTTAACAAAATTGAGATTTTTATTGCATTTTAGTTTTTGATGTTATTAGATTAAAATGTATTAAGCTCTTAATTTAAGTGAAAAATTTCTTGGAACCTGATTTTCCTAGAAACCCTCCCATATGTTAAATTGACATAATTAATTTTAACATTAAAATTAATTAACGTTAAAATATAAACCAGATGTTTACTAAAATTATTTTGAAATTGCTTCTAAATGTATAATAAAATTTAATTTTTTACAATTATAATAAACAATGTTTTAATTATACTTATGATTCTTCAATTAAAGAATAATATAATTTTTGATTGTTTTCATTATTTTCATTATTGTTTTTATTACTTACATTACTATTTTCACTATTTTCATTAATTTGCCTTTTGTTTATATAAACAAAAAAAATTTTTTAATTTTTATAAAGGAATAAATTATATAAAACAAATTCCTTATCTAAAAATTTTATAAATTTAATTAGTTTTTATAAATCACCAGGAACAGTAATATTGAATGTCTGTTCTTTTACTTTGTCATATAAGTTGTTTGCATCAACTTTTTCATTGAAATATACAAACCCAATCCTAATTTTAAATTTTATTTTTAGTAAAGTGATTTTAATTTGTTTAAATAATAAAATTTTAAATTTATCTTTTTAGACATAAACAAATTCATTTCTCTTCTCTTAATCACTTTTCGATTCTCAAGTAACTCACGCCCATTAAGTTTCCTTCAAATTTAACGTGATTTTCCAAAATATTACAATAAAATCGTGCTTTGTAAATGAGTAAATCTTTTTAAAAAGAAAAAAAAAAAAACCTTGTTAAACATACGCAAAATTTTTCTTATATGATCTTCAGGTAATGACTAAGATAAATCGAATACTGTAAAAAAAGTCTCCGACTGTTGTAAGAAAGGAACATAACTGATTCTTTCTCAGAACCAGTAAACCTTACAACAGGTGCAATTCAAAAAACTTTTTAACAGCATTAGAAGTTTACATCCACAAAGGGAGTATAAAATCTGCTATGATGATCGACAATAATCTAAATCTTTCGAGAATTTTCGATGAACAGTATATAAAACGGATTTGACTAAACTTCCAACCTTTCCCTATTTTTTCCCAAATTTGAAAAAAAATAAATAAATAAATAAATGGCGACTGCCGAAGAATTTTATAAACAAGCTAATGATGCTTTCTTTGAAGACGATTATGACGAAGCTTTAAAACTTTATAATGAAGCTATTGAATTAGACGCGACAAATGCTGAATATTTTTTGAAAAGGTTAATATGAAATATATTTTTCGACTAAATAATCAATTTATTGGCTTTACTTATTCACTTGAAGAATTTAATTTAATAAAAGATCGGCTACGTATCAAAAATTAAAAAAGAATAAAGAATCCTTGGATGATGCCGAAAAAGTCTTCAATTTAGTTGAAGGAAAAGAAGAAGAAAAGTCGGTTAAAGCAAAAGCCTTGTTGAGAAAAGGGTAAATCCGTTATAAGTGTAAATGGTTTTTTTATAGATTTCATTCAAATTTACAACTCAAATATTATTTCTTGTTTAGTATTGCATTGTTTGAACTTAAGAATTATCAAGGTGCCAAGGATTCATTTGAATCTTCTAAGGAATTGAATCCAAATGAAAAATTATTGGCCACTTGGTTAAGAAAGGTTGAAACAGAATTGAAGAAAAGTATGTAAAAATTTCTTTTTTACATAAAAGAAAAGTTATAATCTTTTTCTTTTCAGTATTGAAATTTTTTTTTTTTTGTTTATTAAATTTTAATGGGTAAAGTTGCGCCTAAACCTGCGACCACACCGTCAACCTCAACATCAAGTAGCGGTACACAACCCGCACAAACCGCACCTAGTGGAGCAGCTAATTTCTTATCTCAAAGTCGCGTAAGACACGAATGGTATCAAAATGATAACTTTATTATTATCAGTATTTTTATTAAAAATGTCAAGAAGGAAACCGTTGAAGTTTACATGGCAGATCGGTCTGTATCAGTAACAGTGAAACTTCCTACCGGATCTGATTATTCGTTGGAACTTGATCCACTTGCACATGAAATAAATCCAAAGGAAAGTAAATATGAAGTGTTGTCAACAAAAATTGAAGTTAAATTGAAGAAAGCTTCTATTGGAGTTAAATGGGGAGTCTTGGAAGGTGAAGAAACTCTAGTTGGATCAATTAGCGGAGGGGATGGTAAATTAACTTATCCATCATCTGCGAAACATGCAAAGAATTGGGATGCGTTGGAGAAGGAAATCAGTAAAGAACAGGATAAACCAGAAGGAGAGGCGGCTTTGAATGCTTTATTCCAACAATTATATAAAGATGCGGATGATGATACAAGACGAGCCATGTTGAAGAGTTATACGGAAAGTAGTGGAACTTGTCTTAGCACAAATTGGAACGAAGTTAGTAAAGGTACAGTGGAAACGAAACCTCCGGAGGGAATGGTTGCTAAAAAGGTAAAAGTTATTAAAACTTATTGGCCTAAATGGTTTTATGACAATAATGAAATCACTAATCTTTATTTTTATATTTATTTTATATTTTCCATTGATTTTAGTATAATGCATGAATGATTTCGAAATTTATATATATATAATTCATTATAATACAGAAAATGTTTAATACGTGAACAAAAAAAGGACATAATAAAATATACATTTAAAACTTGCGAATGTAGCAAATTAAATTATTTCTTTTTATTTAAAATTTGCAGTAATTGGTAGACCTAGGAAAAGGTATCACGTCTTTAATATTATCTAAACCGGTAATATATAACAAAAATCTTTCAATTCCCATACCAAAACCTCCATGAGGAAAACTGCCATACTTTCTCAAATCCAAATACCATTTATAATCATCTAAAGATGACCCTTTAATTAAAATATTATTTTCTAAAAGGGAATAACGTTCTTCTCTTAAACTACCACCGACCAATTCACCAATTTTGGGAAGTAATAAATCAGTACAAGCGACAGTCTTATTATCATCATTGAAACGCATATAAAAAGGTTTTATTTCTTTTGGATAATTAATAATGAATAAAGGAGAATTACAATAATTCGTGGATAAAAATTTCTCATGTTGAGATTGAATAGGAGAACCAAAGGAAATATCAAAAGAATTTTTCGAAAGAATATTTATAGCATCGTTATAAGACATTGTGATAAAAGGAATTTTTAAAGTATGTTCTAATCGATTTAATAAATTATCATCAATAAATTGATTAAAATATTCGAGATCATGATAAGAATTATTTAATAAAAATTGTATAACGTATTTAATTGAATTTTCAATAAAATCATTTAAATCTTTTAAAGAATCAATAAAAGAGATTTCGCTTTCTAACATCCAAAATTCTGATAAATGTTTTGATGTCAAAGATTTATCGGCTCTAAATATTGGACCGATTGAATACACGCGTGAAATGGAAGAAGAAATTGATTCTGCATGTAATTGACCTGATACTGTTAAATATACTGGTTTACCAAAGAATTCTTCAGAGTTTACCGTCGTAAGTTTAAACACTTCTCCACCACCTTCACAATCTGATGTTGTTATAATAGGAGTATGAACCTGTATAAATTCATTTTTCTTTTTTTTTTTTTTTTTTTAAAAAAAAAAATGATAATAATAATTTTATTAATTTACTTTATTTTTATTTTCTTTTTTTTTTTAAAAAAAAAAAACAAAGAAAAAGAAAAGGTACCTGAAAGAATTCTTGAAAACCTAATATAGTAGAATTTCTTACACGTAAAATCGCACTAAAAATATTTGTTTTAAAACGTAAATGAGTCGTTTCACGAAGAAACTCCATTGAATGATTTTTCTTTTGTAGTGGATAAGTCTAAATGAATTAAGAACAAAAAACATTTTAATGATTTTTAATTTGAAAAACAAAAATATCTATTCAACGTATTAAGATGCTTACAGAATCACATTCGCCTAAAATTTCAACCTTATTAACTTGTAATTCTTTATTTTGCTCCTTTCCAATACTGTCAACTAACACACCATGTAATCTAACACAAGTACCAGTAGTTAACCTAAAAAGTAAAAAGGATTTTTTATAAACATTACTGAAAAAAAAAAAAAAAATATGTTGAAATACAACAAAAAGATTTTCTTTTTTTTTCATACTTTTTAGCGTCTTCATTTGAAAGTATAGCTTGTAAACCTTTTAAACTTGAGCCGTCGTTAATAGAAGCAAAAGAGACATTTTTCTGTATCCTTACAGTACGTATCCAACCATTTACTTGTATTTCTACACCTGAAGGAGTATATGATATTATATTTTTTATTGTTTTTGTTGGTAATATATTTGATATTAGATCATTATTTGAAGAGAATCGTTTATGATTATAACGAAATATTTTTAATTTATTCAGATTTTGACAATTCCGTTTGATAAAACAAAACATTTTTTTTTTGTCTTTTGACCGCGTGAAAAGAATTTGCTGATAATGATTATCTGAAACTGATCATGTGATCTACGATCATTTTCTAAGTCATCATTTTACAAGACGGTCATGATTTGTGGGATTTGTTTAACCGCCAAACTATACTTTATCATTAAAAGATCAAGCAATAATTTTTTCGAAAATTCTAAAACTCCAAACCAAATTTACATACACAGGATTGTTATTATTATATATGGGTGATGAGAAGTTGTTTAGGAAAGGTAAATTTATTGAGTTTTCAATAAACCTTTTGCCAAAGCAATTTCAGCATTTAAAATACCGCTCCCAGCGGCACCTAAAATAGTGTTATGTACTAGTAAAGTAAACTTAATATCAAACACGTTACATTTCCTAACTCTACCAATGGTAACGCTGTAACCATCGCCATTATTTCTATCTAACCTAGGTTGAGGTCTATCATCGTCATTACGGATAATGATGCATTTATTCGGAGCAGAATGACAGCCGATTTGTTGAGCCTCGCTTACGTAAGAATCCAGTACATTGATGATTTCTTGTGGGGTAGGGGGAGGTTGATTTTTAAATTTAATGGAAACACATTCGGTATGACCATCAATCACGGGTACTCTATTGCATGTAGCCGAAATATTTGTAGAATCAAGCAATTTACATTCCGTTTGATCCGAATTTAAATCCCCTAAAATTTTTAAAGTCTCATATTCCATCTTTTCTTCCTCTCCACTGATAAATGGTATTACATTATCAAATATATCTAATGATGATACTCCCGGATATCCCGCCCCTGATATCGCTTGCATCGTTTGTACAATGATCGTTTCCAATGGTCCAAATGCATCCTGTAATGGTTTTAATGCTACTACAAGTCCCGTGGTAGAACAGTTTGAATTCGTCACTAAAAAACCTTTTTGAAGTGTGTGAATGGATCTCTGATGTGGTATCAGATTAAAATGTGCCGGATTTACCGTTGGAACGATTAATGGAACTATAGGATCTCTTCGATAATTCTTTGCATTAGAAAAAACCACAAAATCTGCTTTTAAAAATTCCATTTCTATATGACGAAAAAAAAAAAAATTTTTTTTTTTTACTTGGGAGAAAAAAAAAAAAATGAAATTAAATGAAGAATCGCATTTGACTTACCAATTTCACCGGCAACATCGGAATCTAAACCGGAAAATATTACTTCACAGTCCCCAAATAATTCCGCTTTACATACTTTAACGACCATATTTTTAACTTGCTCAGGTATATCGCCTGTGATTTTCCATTTTGTAGCTTCAGAATATTTTTTACCAGCTGAGCGTGAAGAAGCTCCAACGGAATGAATGATAAATTGTGGATGTTTTGATAATAATTCTATAAAACGTTGTCCAACTGTTCCGGTCGCCCCTAATATGCCAACCTTAACTTTTGTCATCTTTTTTGAACCTTTTTTTTAAATTTTTTTTATATATATATATATATATATATATGCTATCCATCTTTGTAGTACAAATGTTCGGATAAAAATATTTAAAATGTCCAATAGAATTATAGAATATTTTTGATAAAAATGATGCTACAAAATTCATCTTTACATAATATTAAGCATAAAATCATTTTTATTCCTTTTTTATCTCATGTTAATAAATTTATAACAAGAAATAAAATGTTACAAGCAACCGAAAAGGAATACCTTGACCCCACTATAACAGAAGATACAACTACTCCCTCTTCTAATAATACCAAACTTAAAAAGGATTGGTCCAGCGTTAGAGATATTCGTCAAGAGACGAATACTTTTGGTACTCGTTTATTGGAAAATAAGGATGATGTATGGCATCATAATGCTTGGTAAGAGACAACGAATCAACTTTATTTAGATTAAATTGAGTGAAATTATATATATATATATACACACATATGATAATTAAAAAGGGATCATGTTGAATGGAATGAAGAACAAGAAAAAGCCGCTAAACAAAAGGTATCATTGCAATCAAATAATCCAATGAAATTAGAAGATCGACGTAAGCTAAACGAATGGACCTTTTTTTTTCCCAAGAAAAAAATTTTTAATTTATTTTATTTTATTTTATTTTTTTTTAATAATGAATATTATAAAATCAGAAATATTTTTAAAAAATCCATCGGAATATTGGAATACGTTTTATAAACACAATGAGAATAAATTTTTTAAGGATCGTCAATGGTTAAAAATCGAATTTCCCGAATTACATCACACAACAAATAGTGAAGTAGGTCTCTTAATTTTTTTTTTTTAAAAAAAAAAAAAATTATTTTAATAATTTATTATTTTTTTTTTTTTTTTTTTTTTTTTTTTTGATTTAAAGAGTGGAAATCAAAAAATTTTTGAAATAGGATGTGGAGCGGGGAATACAATGTTTCCTTTACTATCTATTAATAAAAATCCAAATTTATTTATTTATGCTTGTGATTTTGCAGAAAATGCTGTCCAGGTGGTTAAAGTTAAGTGTTTTATTTATTTATATGTATGTTACATATTTTCTATTTGTCTCAACTTTTTTTAATTTTAGAATAACAAAGAATATGATCTAAAACATTGCAAAGCATTTGTCTGGGATTTGACAAATAAAGGAATTCCAATGGAACATATTGAACCTAATAGTTTAGATATTGTTGTGTTAATATTTGTAATGTCTGCATTATGTCCTAATGATTGGGTCCAAGCGGTTGATAATGTTTATAATATGCTTAAGCCGGGTGGTCTTGTACTGTTTAGAGGTATTGATCTCATTTATAAAAAAAAATGTTACTTATAATATTTTTCGGTAAATTTTTTTTTCCTCTCGATTTAGATTATGGTAGATATGATATGGTACAATTAAGATTTAAAGAAGGTCGTATGTTATCCGATAATTTTTATGTCCGTGGAGATGGTACAAGAGTTTATTTTTTTACTTCAGGTTGGTGGATAATATATGTGTACGTTTTAATGTTTAATTGACAAATCATGTTCCTAACATTTTGATTCTTAAAAGACGAAATTGAAAAAATTTGGGGATCAAAATTTTCAATTGAACAAAATGCTGTGGATCGTCGATTAATTGTAAATAGACATCGTAAATTACAAATGTATAGAATATGGTTACAAGGAAAATTTAGAAAATTATCCTCTTCATAACATTTTATTTATTCACCTTAAGGAAGATAAACATAAGCTGAAGCATAGCTAACACTATTTTCTCCCTCGTGTTTTACTTGATTAGACTGTGAATAATGAATAAATTTAATCCTTGGTTGTTCAGCTGTATCATTGTCATAACCTTTTTGTAATGTTTCAATTGCACATAAAAGTATTCCAACGGGATGCCTTCCACATATTGTATTCTTTGTTTTTGAAAGGTATGAGACATATCCTTTATGATCTATCTTTTCAATAAAATCCATTCCTTCTCTATCAAGTTTTTCAATGGACTTATATATTGGAATTGGTAAATTCTTATTAGGTACGCGTGTAAGATTAGAACTATTCCCTGGCGATGCCGAATAATATTTGTATGAAAATCGAGGTCCCCTAATTTGATTAAAGAAATATATATTTCATTTAATTTAAACGTGTTTTTTTTTTTTTTTTTTTTTAAAAAAAAAAAAAATAAAGAAAAAAGGATTTACCAGTGACAAAAATCCGTCGAAATGATAAACAGATTAGACGGATCAGCAAGGTATGGAGCAAATAAATCTCCATAAAATGATTCTTTGGCTGCATTCAAAGATCCAACCATAACAGGAACAATCTTAATTGAATCAACCTTACTAAAAGATTTATTTTTTTTAAAAAAAAAAAAAGTAAAAAGAAAAAAGGTTAAAAAGTCAAATAAGATTAAAATGATTAAAATATACGAAGACGAACATAAAACCTTTCCAAAATTTTATAAGTATATGGTAAATGCATCTCAATACTATGTTCTTCCTCTTCAACATCTTGAGACACCGATATAAATTCCCCGGTTTTTTTCAATTCTTCGATAACTATTACAAAGCAAATAAATAAAATAAATCCAATTAGCATATTTTATTACAATCTAAATATATATAAATATCAAGAAATTCTTTTTTTAACATTTACTTTCAGTGTCTAACATCAAATTTCCTAAAGGTGTTTCATATTGGGTACATTGAGAAAGCGCGCATTTGGTAAGGCTAAAATGATGCGATGGTCCAAATATGAAAACACGTTTCCTAAATTAAAGATCAATATTAGATTGAAAGTAAGTTTTGTTTGGCAACATTAAAATAAATCTGTTTTCTTACACAAAATCGGGATCAATGCTCTTATAAGCGAATGCTGCGGCTTGTCCGCTCCACATATATCCTGCATGTCTAAAGGTCATAAATTCAAATTTAAAAAAAGAGGTGATACTTTTATCATTTTAAATAAAGAATTCAAAAAAACTTACGGAGCAATAATAGCTCTAGCTCCAGGTACGGGAATAGGGACATCGTCTTCTATCTTTTGTGGAACGTTATCTAACCACTGAGTAAGTTCCTCATTTAAATGAGGTCCTTTTAAAATTTACAATGTAAAAGGTATAAAATTTTTCGTTCTTAAAAAAAGTCTCAGATTTTTAATTACCGAAAGAAAGACTGTTGTTTCTTATTATATAAAAGTATCTATATATTATGTTTACCTTGCTCGGTGTACCAAGAACCAGCGTGACAAGCCTTTCTGCTCATTGAAATAATGGAAGTAAGTTGAGTGATTTTATTAAAAAGAATACCGAAAAGTTTGTATCAATTTGCTTACGTTATATGTAGACCAGCAAATTCAATTTTTTGGTTAGTTTAATTGCTAAATGAAGTTTAGACATGTCCACATGCTTATGCTTCAAAATTTATTACATAACGAAAAAATGATTTTATTTCCGAAAATATTTTCCTAATCTAAATCTGGTTAGATCGATAATTGATTGTTTACGTAACTTATTTTTTAGGTTCTCTGTGGGCGCAGTAAATATTTCGCGCTTCGGACGATTATAGTTTTTGGGATTGCTTAAGGGAATCTTCAACAACTATAGAGGCCTTTAGTTACACTAGTTTACTTGTTTTTTAAGTTTTCTACTTATAATGCGAATTGATTTAGAGATAATAAAAAACAATTAATACAATTGAAAACTATAATTTTTCATTCTGAATTAATAAAAAATCAATACAAGTCAAAAAAAAAAAAAGGTTATTTGTTTAGTAATGGTAATCTACGTCGTCTCTTTCTTCATTACCTTGCCCTAATAAATCTCGGAACTATCCTACGTTCCAAACTTAATTGTTATTTCTTGGGTAATGAAATGTTAGGGATTGGAGTAAATCTTTTGAACAAATTGAACGCGCGTTAATTGTGGTCGAGTCCATAATATTCGTTAAAGTGTTGCAGAACAACTTAGATTTTGTGTACCTTAGAATGTATATGCACCTAATATTATTATGTAAAGTTCATTTATAACGTCTGAACAATAGAGATAGAATTGATAGAATATGTAATCTATTATCTTAATTTCTAGTTAGATCTTAAGGCAAAATTATTTTTATTTATAATTAAATTGCTATTAATTTATCTTATTATTTTTGGAGATGAATGGCAAATATAAATGCAAATCCCATATTAAAACTTTCATTAATCCAATGTCTAATATCTAAAGGGTACATGCATTCATGCCTTTAAGATTTGAACAAGTAACTCATTTGAAGTCAAAACAAAAACTTCCAATAAGATTACTTGCGATTTCTCATCGATTCAAATGCTTTAGCACGAAGTTGTTCGAGTTGTTCAAGATCGGAATTAGATTTCTAATCAACAATGAAGAAACGACTTGTTTATTGATTTTCTTGTTGTCTACAAAAATTTATTTTGCCAAATGTACCTTTTTGCTTTCCACGCTTTCTTCTTCATCTTCATCATCGTTCCACTTGGATTTGAAATATGGACCATCTACTACTTTTTTACGAATGGGCGAATTTGGTGTAGTAGTATTATTATCTTCTACTAATTCAACAGTCCTTTTCTTTAAATCATCATCTGTAACTACAACATCTTTACGATTATTTTTTTTGGGAGATAATACGTGACTATTTCTATCTATAGATTCTTTTGAATCTTTAGATAAGCGCCGCCGCTTACTCGGTTCTCTACTTCTACTACGAGTTCTCTGACGTTGTCTACGTTCTTCCTGCCTTCGCTTTTCTTTACTTCTACTTCTACTTCTACTACGCCTATTATTTTTATGTCTTCGATGTTCCCTACTATGATCTCCACCACGATTCCTACTATGATCCCTACTTCTACTATTACTCCTCCTGTGGGAACGTCGTCGCCTGTCTTCTTCACTTTTACTGCGACTATATCTCCGTCGTGAACTTCTGCGAGGCCGTCTAATTTCATCTCTACTTCTACTACGGTGACGGCTCGATCTGTGTTCACGTTCCTATAAAGATTTGCTTGTAAGACAAATGATTTTCCATGAAACGATAGAAATACAAAATTGTCTCCCTTCTTTTTCCTAACTAATTACTTTGCTAATTAACTTGATTAATAAAGCATACCTTTCTTTCACGTTCTTCCCTTCGCTCTCTTTCTCTTACATCTCGCAGTTTTGTCCTTTCCTCCTCCTCTTTTTCACGTCTTTTCCGAATTTCTAATAGAATTCGTTCATCCTCTTCCTATTTAATAGGCATTAAATTATTTTTATTAATTTAATGTAAACATTAATAAAGTTTTACATCTAATAAAGAATTGTTTAAAATTCACCTGCTTCTTACGAATCTGTTCCATTTTTTGTTCAAGAAAAATTGCTGGAATACCATTTTCACCTTCCTGAGCTGATAAAAGTAATTGCCATAATTCTGTAACAAAAATTGGTGCGTCTGTTTCCAAGAAGCCGGTAAGATTAATTTGCATCATCCTTGGATCCAAATCCTAAAATAAAGAAGGTAATTAATTTACGAAATACAAAAAAAAGTTGCTTGTAGAGAAAATGAACAACTAACTGGTTCTTCTAATAATCCAAACACATAATTGACGACTACTTCATCTTCACCACCCAATAACTCTACGATTTTTTGCGCGACCCACGGCCTAATAACATTTAAGTTCACTTTTTTCAAGTCAACCTAATAATCGAATGCAGTAGGAAATAAAAAGAAGGTTGAAAAATAATTTGAGCGAATTGTGAAAATAATAATTAAGACAAATTTTGTGCATTTATCCATTACCACTTTCTCTCTATCAAAGAAAGGACGAAAAGAAGTACTGCCAAGTATAATAATAACAGTATACCAATAAAACAAACAAATGATTTTTTTCTGAAGAATTAAACTTAAATTCACAGAAACAAAAAAAAAAATTGAAAATCTAAATTGCCTTCAATGGCGATTGATTTTGAAACACGGCCAATAACTGCTGCTGATACAAATGCTTTCAACAAAGAACTGCCTTCGCCTTAAGAGATTGTACAGGTAGCATAGAATCAAAAAGTAAACTAAAAATTTTTTGTTTTTTTTTTATATTTGGATAAGATCATTGGAAAAATGTCTAGGAAAAAAATTTCGCCGAATAGGGTAACCATTCAATGAGGTTCGACTTATATATCTCAAAGCGTTGAAGAGCAAATTGTCCAACAACAGGTTAAAAAGGGTGTAGAATGTAGACATAAATTACAGAGAATAAAGAATTAAATAATTGAAATTACCTTTAAATTGAACTCTGAGGGAAAATTCATACTCTTCAATAATTTTTTCTGTTTATCAGAAAATCGGCTGTCTTGCTCCAAACTCGTACCCTATTTAGATCGCAAAAAAAAAAAAAAAAACAAAATCAGCTGAAGTTATTTCAATAGATCGGACAGCACCATACAAAATTCTAACCTTGAAAAAGCCTCCATCTCCCATCTTAATAGAAATTAGTATAAAGATTTATAAGTTTCGTTTTTAAAAAAAATAATGAACGAACTTTCAAAATAAGTCAACCCAAATGATCTACTGTACAACAAAAGGTATTTTATGATGTCATCTTACGAGTCATGTATGATTGGTTAAGATAAATTGCATTAAAAATTATGTAATGTAGTCACTAATTCCGTTTTACTTAGATATTTTTCTTATTATAATCTTATTAAATTCTTATTATAAATATTAAAAATTATTAAAAATTATAATATAATTATTTTTTAATTAGAAAGGAGAGAAAATATATTTGTATTATCTTATTATCAAATTTTGCTAATTATTTTTATAAAACTGAAGAATAATAATATTGAAGAGATTAAGTTATAAATTCAAAATATTTTTTATTTAGAAGGTTATTATATATCTAGTATTATTGTAGATCAGCTCAATAATTCTAACTCTTTATTTTGCAAAGATAAAAAGATTGATAAATTTTAGATTATGTGTATAAGAAAAAAGTTAGTACTAAAATTAAATAAAAAAAAAAAATAAAGAAAAATCTTTAAAAGTAAAACTTGTCTTTATAAAATACTTTTTATCAATAAAAAAAAACTTTATATAAGAAAAATTAAAAAAAAAAATTATTCAAAAAACATCTTTTTTTTATATTCAATTAGAAATTTTATCAAAAAAAAAAATTAGCAAAATATTATTTCTTTAAATTTATATATAAAGATATTTTATTCTTTTAAATGAAAATTTTGTAATAATATAAAACCTTTGCAATAAAAAGAGAGAAACAGCCAAAAAAAATAAAAGATAAGTTGATGCTAAATTTAAAATATAAACATTTTGTAATAGAAAGAAAGAAAATTACCAAAAAAAATTTTTTAAAATTAATATTAAATCTGAATTTATTTTACTAAAAAAATAATATTTAATTTATAAAGAAAAATTTTTTTGATAGTTTCTCTCATTTTTACTACAAAATACTTATATTTTAATCTAAAAATCATATTTAAAATATAAAAGTAAAATTGATTTTTTTTAGTTATTTCTCCTTTTTTATTGCAAAGATCTTATATAATTCTTATTAATTGTATAATCCAAAAAGTTATCTTATGTTATTATAAATTTAGGAAAATTTTTATTCAAAGATAAGGTAAAATAATATTTAAAAAATAAATTAATCTAAAATCTAATATTATTAATAAAATTTTTTATATAAAAGTTAAAATTTAGCTTTTTGTAAATACTTTGATATGTCTTTGTAAAAAAATCAAATAATTAAAAAATTCAAAAAACTTTTGGTATAATAAATTTATCAAATATATTATTTTTTACTAATATATTTTTAAAATAGTATATAAAACTTTTTAATATATTATAGATAACGTATTAATTAATTATAAATAGAATTATTCTTTTATACTTAATGAAAAAAATAATTATAAAATAATTCTAAATTATTGCATTTTAATCTTAATTTAAAAAGTGATAAAAAACTTTAAAATTATTATTCCTTAAGTTATCTATTAATTAAATTTGTTAAGTTAAAAAAAAGTATTAATTTCTTGATAAAATATTTAAATTTAGTAATATAATAATTATATAAAAATATTATTACACGAAAGAAGACATAGATGATGATGATCAAAAAGATAATATTAATTACTAAGAAGTCATATATATCTTCTATGTCTTTTATATCATTTATGATATACATTTCTTTAATACAATATATCTTATTTATTTATTTTATTTTATTTATGCTATATATTTATTTTATTATATTTATCTCATATATTATATTTATTTCTTTTATTTCTTTAATAACTTTATATATTTTAATTCATATAAATAAAGAATATTTTCTTTAAGCTTAGCGGTGTGTCTTATATCTAGTGTATTTAATAAGTAGTTTTATTAAATAGTTTACTTTAATCTCTTTAATATACTTATATAATACAAAGTGTTGACTGAGGCAGTATTCTATATTAAATAAGCTGTTAAATGATTAACACTTTTTTAAAACTAATTATAAATAAACCTTTTGCTTACTATCTAAAATATTACTTCACTTATCACTTATCTCTTAAAACATAGGTATAAATTGATTATAAAATATTATAGAAAAATTATAATATTTTAATATCTAGTGATTATAAAAAGATAAAATAAAGTTTATTAAATTTATTATATTAAAATTTATTTAATAAAAATATTTTTAAATTTTTAAAATTAATAATTATTAATATATATTAATTTTTCAATTTTTCAATTTTTTAAAATAATTTATTATCTAATAATTACAAAAAAATAAATTTAATTTATTGAATTTATCTTATTAATACCTATTAAATAATTATATTTTCATATTTCTAAAATTAATATATAGCAAGATATATAAGTTAAAAAAATTAACTTTTTTTCATAATAATTTATCATATATTTATCTTTAAAATATTACTAATTAATTACATTTTTTTGAATTTTTATTTAGAAAATATCATAAAATTTATTATAAAAATATTAATTTTGAATAAATTATTTTAAAAATATTTAAAATTATTATAAATAATTTTAATTATTAAATAAAATTGCAGGCAAATTTGCCTGTAAAACGTTGAAGAAATAAGCATCTTAAAGAACTAACTATAACAATATATTTTAATATATATTTTATAAGTTTATTAAGAAGTTTTTTAAAATAATTCAATTTTAAATTTAAATTTTAAAAAAAATTTATTATCTCTTAAACAGTAAATAATTTTAAGCAAATTTACTATAAAATTATCTTTCATTTATTATTATAAAAAAATTTAAAAATTTTTTTTATATTTAATTAACTTTATCAATATCACATAACTCTGATCTATATTTTTTGATTATATATTAAAATATTTAATATTTTTATTAGCTAAAGAATTGTATATTTTTTATTAGCTAAAAAATTATATACAATTTTATTAAAATTCAATTGTAGCTATACTAATTCTTAATAAAATATTTAAATTTGATTATAAAAAATAATTTTTTTAAATATAATAATCTTTAAAATAATTATTTCTATTCTTATTATAACATAAGCTTATATTATATTTTATATAATATAATTATAATTGAAAAGAATCTTTTATAGACTTTTCTTGAACTTTTTTTATTAGATATTTATATTATACATAACTAGTTCTTACTTTTTTTCACTCAATTAAATAATTATCTAATGATAATCTTTTTAAAAAAAATTTAAAATTTTTTGTTACATATTACTTTCTAGAAGGATTAACTTTAATAAATTTAAATTAATTTATTAATTTATTAACTTAATTTTAAGTATTTAATATATATAGCTTATTTTATTCTAATTTTATTTAATTAATTCTATATTATTTATATTTTAAAATTTTTATAATTAATATTTATACTATTATTATTTAATATTAAATATGAATTAATAATTATAATTAGTGATACCTACCTAAATTATTTTTATTATGACTAAACTTTTGTGTTAACTAAGGTTACTAGATGAAATTTAGAGGTTTTACAAGTTATCTAAATAAAAAAGGTAAAATTTAGCGAAATTATATTAAAATCTTATTAAAAAATCTGCAAAATTCTAGAAAAGGTAAAAACTATATCAAAGCTTATAAAAATACAAACTATATTAAAATCTTAGTAAAAAATTATTAAAACTATAGTTTAAACATTTTGTTAAATACAAAATAAATTTAAATAAGCAACTTTAGTGTTGACTAAACTCTTGACTAAAATTTAAACTTTTGATTAAAGTCTAAACTTTAATTAAACTTTTAATATATGACTAAATAACTAAATTGCTTTATAATATATAAATTATAAATATTTATTTATTTATCTTTATTAAAAAATATATTATTATTTAATATTTATTAATTTTAACTTAAATCTTTTATTTTTTATATTAATTAAATATAATCAAAAAATATTACTAATTATATTATAAATAAGAATTATTTATATGAAAAGTTTGCGAGAAAAATCAGGCTTTGAGAAATTTTTTGACTAAAATTAAGATCTTATTACATTTAATTTAATAATATCAAAACTAATGCAATAAAAATCAAAATTTTATTAAAAAATTTTTTTATTAAACTTCCTATATAGTAAATAAAATATAATAAATAATATTTTATTTATAAAAATTCTAAATTTCTAAAATTTATAGTAAAATAAAATATTATTAAAAATTGTGAATTAAAATTTATGAAATATTTATGAAAAATCTATAAAAATAAAGTTTTAACATTTAGGCATTTAATTATTAAAGACTAAATAGTTTCAGTTTTGTTATAGGATTAAATATTTTAGTTTCATCTAGTATTATTACTTAAATGTATTATAGCAGAATGAATATGAAAAAATTAATCAAATATAAATTATATATAGTTAAGTATATATTTTTGTAAAGTAATATTTAATTGAAATATATTAAGTCTATTTACTTCTTTGCATTTTTTCATATGTAATTAAAATATATTTCAGCATGATTGCTTAAATTTATTCTGCTAAAAATATTAGGTATATTTAATTAATTACTTCAAAAATTTTTAATCACAAGTTTAAACTTTTGTAATAATAGAAAAGATAATGAATGTGATTTATTTTCAGTTTTAACTTTAAAGTAAAGTAATTTAATAATTTTTCATTAAATCTTCAAATTCAACTTTATAATTCTATTTACGTTATCTATTATAATATACTTTTTGGCTTTATTTTAGTAATCTTTACCAATTTTTAGCATTTAAAGCAGATAATCATCTGACTTTTATGAATATTAAGTCTATGATACTTATATAAATTATCTTTTAGCTTACTACTAATATAGTTATAGTATTTTTAGCTTATGCTTCTAATGCTGAAGAAACTAAAATAGGTGTTTTAATTTCAATAAACTTCTTTTATTATAAATATTTTAGTACTTGTTTACTCCTTATTCAAATTATATGAAAAAGTAAAAT